GCTATCAAATTTTTGATGCTTTTCTTTAACCAAAAAGTAATTGACTAGAGGCAATAGTTCCTTGAAAAGAGCAACAACAATTATATTCGATATGAAAAGAAAAAGACATGAGTAGTCTGTAGAACCATAAGTTTTCTTTAAAAGACAACAGTTGACTAAATTAACTTTATCATTCACTGGACTTATCTCAATGTACGAGGAAACAATAGTTAAGAAAAAACACATTTTTTATATGAGTGCATAAGTAAATTTATAAAAATCATGACTTTTCAGAAGAATTTCAACAGTTTGTTCAAGATTTTTATTGATAAATTTACTAACAATCAACAAATTTGTGTATAAATACTACATTGTATGGAAATAACTATTAAGGCTAATGATTCAAATGTTTCTCTGACTAGCGAATACTTGAGTAGGAGTTAACAGACATGTTTTTTTGTTTTTGTTTTCAATGCATAGTTCTTAAAACAATCAATGACATAACTATTAACTATTTCTACCAGCGTTCTGCAAGATTTCAGCATCATCATTTTAAAGATCGTGACCTTGCAAAGTTCTCTTTTTCTTTTGAATAACTTTTGAAAAATTGATATTCCAACTGGATTTCGTCGATGGCGAATGCCTGAGAAAGGATGTCTTTGCAAGAGTTCAAGAAATGACATATTGAAGAAAATCAGGTAATTTTATATTACAATAAAATAGACTTTGCTGACATTAAATGTGTGGCAATAAAATCGGATGATCGAGTTTATGATCCTGATGATTCTTAAAAGTAGATATCAATGACAATTATTAGCTAGAAAAATGTGAATGAGATTGATTGATCTATTCAGAAGAGACAGACAATAAACTGTAACTGTGGATTGATGATTATCCCAAAATAAAATAAAAAAAAGAAACACTTCTCCAGAAGAAAAAGTGAAGAATACAACGAATTCCTAGACAATAGAATGTATGGCTTTGTAGATGAACCGGAAACTCACACCTTATTGTATATATTTCTGTTTATATTAAATTTTATGAGAAAAACTTTCTTTATTTTATTTCGTCACATGTATGCAAAATTTACTGTGTCAACAACAAAAAAAATATTAGAAATAAAGTTAAATAAGTTAGAACACAAAATTTAAACCACGAAAATAGATTGTGAGAAAAAAAGTTTTGAAGCTAATCGTCTCTCCTATTTTTAGTAATGAAAATAGAACAGGATTCAACATCATACTATTCATTGAAACAACAACTTCTTCCTTAAATAGATATTAGTAATTTTGAAAAAATGAATAAATATAGAGAGGTATATGAAAAAAAAATGATTGGCTAAGATATAATCATTTTTGTAAAGTTGTAATGTTATATGTGATTATCAAACGATGTTCGATGGAGTATTTTGCAAAGCGATCAATTTACATTTATAAACATTTACCAAAAATCCAAAAATAAATTTCAAAAAAGTTAAATAAATTTAAAATATAATCTAAATATGTTTGAAGTATTCTAGAATGTGTTTACAAGCCTTTTAGTATCTTTAGAATGTAACAGGAACATGGTGCGATCATTTTCTTACGGAATATTCTTTAGTGATGATCGCATTTTCGTTACTTATGATTTATTTTTTCTGAAGTCAAGCATTTTGATGATTGTATTGTTGAGTTTTAACTTATGCTTTTCATTAAAAAAATTCTCAAAAATTTACAATCTAAAATAATATTACAGGATAATACCGCGCTTGTCAGTCATCGAACTGAATGAACTCGAACCTGTGGAAGTTGGTTTGATTCCTTTTCTGATAGTTATCGTTAAATACTGTCAATGATGAATTGCTTTTTACATTAAAATATTCAATTGTTTTTCTTTATTATGAAATTTTTTTTGTATTGATAATAAAATAATAAAAAATACGAATAATAAATCAAGAAAAAAGAATTGTTATTTGAATAAAAAAGAAACAATTGTGTAGTGCGAGACTTTTTGAATTTATCATTTTCAATGGATTTTCAGAAAACAGTTCAATAAGATGAAGTATGATAGCTGCTTTTACATATAATCTACTAAACCAAAACGATTCAAAGATTGTAAATGTGGTCAAACAGAATATCAACATCTATACTCACATTCTTCTTGATATTATTAAAAGTACTGGTTATAAATGCAAGTTTTAATCCAGATGTTGTGCAACTTTCTCTTAAACTCTAACGACATGGTTTAAAAAAGTCTTCGTTAAAACTTCAATGGCTAAAATATGTTTAATGGATACATGTAATCGACTTATTTACTAGTTAAATCAATGATTGAAATCATAATAAAACATACGATATGAAATATAAATCAATAAGACAAACAGAAATTAGAGCGCAAAATAAATGACAATCTATTCTGATTGATTTAGAAAATTTAGATATGATTGTTATAATAGAGACAGATTCTAGTAAAAAGAAAAAAAATAGATAAATTAATTCTTGTTGCTACTTTTCCATTTTATAAATTGATATTTTTAGTCTTTATTGAAGGTGTGGGTATGGATGACAGAGAGAGAGTATATGGTTCATCAACATATCCAAACAACATCTACATCCACACCGTATTTTGAACGTGTTCAAGTAAATCAGCATATAATTTTTCTGGATTCGATTCATTTATGAATGCTTATTCAAATTGACGTCAATGTTCAATATTCGTTAACTAAAATAAATAAAATAGATTTTTTGTTTTTTGTTGATACAATTGATATTTGCAAGTTTTCTTTTAATATATCTGCAGATACTATTTTCGATCAGCAATAAGAAATAAACGATTGTCTGATTCTTCAAAACGAGCACTGAAACGTGATAACATCAATAAAAACCTAAAAAAAGTAAAAGATATACTATATTATCAATGAAAATTCATTTTGACACTTCATGGCGAAATTTATTGATTTTGTATTGATCGTCATTCCTTCGGATTGCAATAAAGAGTTTTTGTTTTTCATTAATGTTTTACTATTTATCTTTTCCAAATAAATTTTAATTATATGTGTAAGTCTTGATAATTTTTAAAAAGAAAAATAGGAAGAATATTTCACCATAGGCAGAATTTTACTCATAAGAGGGTGTGGGTATCATTATAGGTCTTGTCTTCACCCACACCCACACCCTGTGATAGACATGCACTTAACATAAGACAAGTTAACCCCCATATAGCCATACATAGTGATTTTTTTTTTGTGCAATATTTGTCATTGATAATAAAGTCCATTCATTAACTTTAGCTGAATAACGTGCATTAATTAAAGCACGAAAAAAAAACTAATGTGTGCAAGTAATAATGACAAAAGGACGTAATAAAAGTAAAGCTTCATATGGTAATGTTGATGATTGTTTTGTACGTGCATATAATTCTGCAACAAGTTCAATAAGAATATTATCTGATGATGATATTATTGATGAACTATCAATTATTGTTTGTTCTTTATTAACATGTTCATTATTTAATGAATTTGTATTTTTATTTGGTCGTTGTAATAATGTATAAATACATGAAAGTATTAACACCATATATCATTTTTGGGATATTGACCAACTATTAAAAGTTTTTCAAGACTAATTGATATAACTTTTTGTGTTAAATTATCATCTTTAATTAAAGATAATCAAATATCATATGAATTTAAATCAACTTCATGAATAAACATGATGCATATCCATGAGTTTTAGTTATTAATTTATAATTACGTTCAATTAAATGTATATATAATTCATTATATTTTTTTGTTCTTTGTTCAAGTAATATACTAGATTTACATAAATTATAACTTATTAAGGATATTATTAAATCATCTTCATCAAACCATGTACAAATAAATCAGATAGATATATAATTGAACCTATTAATTTATATTACATATATTTCAATTAGAATTTGTAATGATAATGTTAAAACAAAACCCTGATGAAAAAATAAGTGATCAAATAAACTCTAAATTATATATTTTTAAAGATGGATGCCAGAAAAGAAAATGTTCATAATCTAATTTTTTGATTGATAGAATATATTTGAAATTATTGATATAAGCTTTTATCTCTATGAAATAAGATAGTTTGCATGTATTATATATCAAATCAAAGTCAGAGAAACACTAGATTTTCTCTTTGATGAAATTAATAATTTAGCAATGAATTTATCTTTCTTTTAACTTAGAGTTCTATTTGTCGATTATTAAAACATATGTGAGACTTACATTAGCTGATAATGGTAATGTATTATTACTTCGGATTAATGTTAATATAGTATCATGTGAAAATTGTCCATAGGATAATAAATCATGTGTACCTAATCGTTCAATATTTGTAAATAAATTATTTGAACTTGTATCTAATATTGAACGTGTTTGCATATATTGACCATCGATAAAAAAACAAAACAGATAAAATCTAGTTTATTTTTCAATCTTGTTACCATTGTGTTGCATTTGTTTCTAAAGTTTCTTCTTTTTTTTTACAATTATTTGTTGTTTGTTTATTTTTATCATTAGATTGATTTGTGGTGAATTAATTGAAGCTAAAAATGAAGCCTATATTTCTTGAAATTGTATTCTTAATAATCAACCAATTCCAAAATTGTCTTTATATAAATATTGGTAAACAAAATAATAATATAGCTATACAATGTAAATCATGTCAATAAATATATGACATATATATATATAATTTTTCTTGTTAAATAATAAAGATGATCAAGATCATTTATCTGGTTCAATTAAATTTAAATACGATTATAATAATTGATTTGTTTATTTGATACAGTTAAACCCATGTCGTTGATAAATATATTCAAATATTGATAAAAGTGTTTTCCACAGCGTACGACATGATATTATTTGATCTATTTCACAACTAAGAAATTATTTTTTTTTTGAAATATATTTATATAAATTATTGCTGATATAAATATTATAAAACGTAATAAATCATGTATATCACCTGTTGAAAATTGACATGTTAATTCAACATGATTTTGTATTTTATCAAAATACATTGATAGAGAATCGATGAATGCAATTGAATATGGTTGATTATTAGAGCATGATAAAAGACTTTTTTCATGAATTGTATTAGGTGTTGTTTCAATGTCATTTTAATTTGTTTCATTTGATATAACTATACAAAATCCTAGGAAAACAAACAAAGAACAGATTTATATTGTTTCGTATTTTCTCAAATCAATTTTCATTTACTATAAGAATCATCCTAAAAATTTAATGCTGTGGAAAAAATCCAATACGTTTTCGGTGTGGGTGGGTGTGGGTGTGGGTGTGGATGTGGGTGTGGGTGTGGGTGTGGCTAATCTCTTCTCCACACTCACACCCAGACGCACCCACACCCACACACCCAC